GGCCGGCCCCCTCCCCCGGCCCGCGCGCAGCCAACCAGGCCCTCCAGCGGGGCCCACGTGACCTGGAGTTCTAGACAAAGAACTGTTCCCTCCCCCCCAGCGCCCCCTCCCCCTCTCTGGCCCCCTCCGCCCCCAGCCCCTTCGCCCCCTTCCCCTCCCCCAGCCGGGCAGCTACTTACAGAGCTTCAGGGCCGGGGCTCACACCTGAGCCGGACCGCAGAGGGGCTGCACCTGGCCTTATGGGTAGGTTCCTGGACGGAGCCCTGGGGAGACTGGGGGCGGGGAGGCGGCCGGGCCGGTGGGAGGATCCCGGCAGCCCTCAGTGTTTGAAAAGAGTCAAGTATGCCTCCCTGGCCCGCAGCAGCTGCAGCCGCCCCGGCCCGCCTGAGTTCTGAAGATGCTGATTTAGTGCCGTCCCACCCAGGGCTACTCAGGAGCCCCGAGGCCCCACTCCTCACTGGGCTCCAGTGACACCCGGCGCGCTCAGGGGACAGGAAGAGCAACCCCGGCAGTGGTAACTGCAGGCTGGGGAGCAGGCGGCCTGCTGAGGGCAGCTGGCGACGAGGAGTCGGGCTGAAAGCGGTCTGGGCTGAGCTGCTGCAGATGGGCCCCTGGCAGTTAGTTCCCCGTTGACCTGTGTGTTCCCGGCTGGGGGACGGTGAGGTCCTCAGAGCTCTGCCTGCTTGCGCCTCTTGAGAGAGACGGCTTTCTCCCTTTCGAGTTCCTGGGAGCCGCTGGGCAGGCAGTCAGAAAGAAGTGGTAGGGTGGGAGGGAGCAGTATGACCCCGACAGGGCCGTGGGGTCAGCCCGGTGCCCTGTGACACCGGGATAGCCCAAGGCCGCGTGGGCTCGTGGGCAGTGGCGCTCTGACCTCTGACCTTTGGGATGGGAGTTACAGAGGGAGGGGGAGGTGGACCGCTGCCTGAGGAGATGGAACTGGACGAGAAGGCTGTCTTCAGTGGAGTTACCAGTGGCTTTCCCAGGCTGGACAAACTCCTGGCCAAGTGGCTTCCTTGAGCTGGTGGTAGTGGGGGAGGGTGTAATGTCCCTGGTGGACCCTCGCCTGTCTCGCAGCCCCTCTAAGGGAGAGGAGCCATCAGCCCCACTGCGAGAGTCCCGAGTTTAACCCTTCCTTGGCCCATTGTTTGCCTGGGGAGAAGGGTAGGGATGGTGAAGGGGAAAGGACTCCTCCGACGGCCAGGCCAACTCTTCTATGGCGGGCCCACCCCTTACTCCCCCCTTCTTGTCTGCCCCTGCCCCTCTTCCCCTTTCCTCTGGCCTCCTGCTACTCATCGCCTCGTGCCGCCCAGTCCTGGTGGCCCCATCCTCTGCCAGCCCTACCCGTGCTGGGTGCACGTTCTCCTGCACCAAGTGGGTTGGGGATGCGGAGCAGCTATCAGCAGTGGCATCTGACAGGCTGGGGGAAGTTGTGGAGGAAGAATTTTCAGGAACTGCTGTGGAGGGGTGAAGAGAGACAAAGGGGCTGTGGGGGAGTAATGAGGGTGGTGGCAGGCACGACTCCTCTCTAGATCTGGGGGCTGGGGAGGAGCTGTGCCCTCCTGCCCTGTGCCACCCCCTGCACACCGTGCACTGGCTGAGGGATCTTGCCAGGCCTGCACGCAGGCTCTTTGGGGCATCCAAGGCAGCAGCCTCGTGTAATTCAGTTATCCCTGCCTGGAGTTGGAAGCAGGCATGGTGCAAGGGAGCAGACAGCAAGGCAGGGATTTATCTATGCATGGAACTGGTGCAGCTAGTGATCCCAGGAGAGGAGCTGGCGCACCGGAGAAGGGAACCCCCTCCCCCAGAGGCAGAGCCTGGTGCATGTCTTGAGGGAGGAGATGATAGCTGATTGATAGAAGGAAGGAAAGGGCAAAGTCCTGACCAGGTGAGGGTGAGGCTGGGGAGCACCGAGCAGTTGCTCTGCATTCTTTCACCACCACCAGCTCATTTTCCCAAGTGTTTGTGGGCTGGGGCAAAGGATGCTTTATCCCATTTTAGAATTTGTTGAGTCAGAGAAAGTGCTAGGGTAATCACCACAAGAAACAAATCTGGTTTGTTGCCAGGAGGAAAAGTTTTGAAGGTTGAGTGAAATTAAGTGAATCTCTGTCAATACAGTAGCTGGGACCTTTGGACTTGGGATCATTGATAGGGTTTGGGAGAATCCTTGATGCATATGATGTCAGATTCTGAAACAGGTCGGGAAAGGTGACCAGAAATCTGCAGTTCAAATGCTCCTTTAGGTTGAGCAACTTCAAAGAGAATGGACTTGTTCTGTCAGCTGCTAAGGTGCCTGGCTAAAACGGGACTATAGATATTCTGACTTCAGTTTAGAGCTCTTTTTTTACACAATCAGTTGCTTTCTGAACCTTTTTTTTTTTTTTTTTTAAATATTGAGGATTTCCATTTGTAGCTCAAAACTCTTACAGAAAGTTGTTTGTTAGAAGGCACGTTGAATAGGATTTGGAGGGGCTGGGGATGTATCTCAATGATAGAGCATGTGCTTAGACTGGAGGGCCTGGGTTCCATGGGTCCTGGGGCAGGTTGGACATATGATCATATGGACTCAAAGACAAGTGTGATACAGTGAAAGGATGCAGAGTGTCAGTGGGAGAATGGTTGGGGTTTGGCTTATTAATTTGCTGATAGGATGGCAGAGAGTGCCTGTTCTGCGTGCTCAGCAGATAACTGAGTGACCAGATGGATGTACAGATTTTGAAAGGTGCACGCAGAAGGTAACAGCGCACAGCATGTCCTCTGGAGCCCCTGAGCACTTGGAATGGTGGGAGCAGGCAGGCTCTTGTGGAACTTTCTGTGATGTTGGAGGCAGGTGTAGGAGATGTGCATGTTAAATCAGTTGATATCACAGCATTAGGATTGTGGTCTGGAAACTAGGAAGAGGACTGATTGGCGGAGAAAATGATGGAGAAAAAAATGAGCCTCCTCCCCTCTTGATTGGGAAGAGTGAGAGGCAGGAGCCAATACCTATGTCTGAACAATGGTGCCGTGATTAATATTCGAGTGGAATTCTTTCCAGATCGGAGGGTGGGCAGCTGATGTTTCTAGCAGGGTATGGAAGATTAGGCCGGGGAGGGAGGGTTCCCTAAGAGGCAAAAAAGGTGGCTGAAATGGATCCATGTGTTTTGCTTTCACCTGCGAGCCTCAGCTGTTTCCCTTTCTGTGGCAGGCCAGTTGGGTTGATGAGGGAAGAACTGTTCTCCCTGGCCCTTTACCTCCCCCATGTCACCACCTGCAGACCACACCTGGGTGGGGAACAGCCCCTGAGTCTTGCTAACGTCCAAAGTGTCAAGGGGATTGTTCCTTGTTCCCCCAGGCTGAGAAGAAAGCCAAGGTAATTGCCGTAATGAATGCTGTGGAAGAAAACCAGGGGTCTGGGGACTCACAGAAGGTGGAGGAGGCCAGCCCTCCTGCCGTGCAGCAGCCCACTGACCCCGCATCCCCCACTGTGGCCACCACGCCTGAGCCTGTGGGGGCTGATGCTGGGGACAAGAATGCCACCAAAGCAGCTGATGATGAGCCAGAATATGAGGTGAGCGGCTTGCTTCTTCACCAGCCTTGTCTGGCTCTTTCCCAGGCCCTCCACTGCCAGCTCCTCCTGTCCTGCTCTCCATCTCCCACTGGCCGCTCGCTCTCTACCTGACCCTGGGCCTCTTCATCTCCCTGACTTTGCTGTCTCCCTCCATTCACGTGGAGTTCTCGCCTGGCTGTCGCATCCCCAGAGGCTCGGGCTGGGGTTGCCAAGGGGGGACCAGGGTGGCAGGGTCTCGTGACCATCATGTAATGATTTCTGCTCCTTGGGGCTCCAGGACGGCCGGGGCTTTGGCATTGGGGAGCTGGTGTGGGGGAAACTGCGGGGCTTCTCCTGGTGGCCAGGCCGCATTGTGTCTTGGTGGATGACGGGCCGGAGCCGAGCAGCTGAAGGCACCCGCTGGGTCATGTGGTTTGGAGACGGCAAGTTCTCCGTGGTAAGTTGTGGGTTTGCCCACAGGCATGGAGCGGGTGGGGAGGGAGCCTGGCGTTACAGTAGTAGGTGTGGGCTCTGCTCATGCTCATGTATGTGCTGAGCGGAGGAAGCCTCAAGGTTAGCTTATAACCCCAGCTCAGACTCAGGCCCTACAGCCTGTTAGCTGCCAAGGGCCCTTCCTTTTGCAGGAATTCCTTTCCCATGCCTCAGGCCTTCCTACTTTTGGTCTGGTATCCCCCCTTGTCTTGATTATCAGTGCTTCCCATTCTCTGAGGGCCCAAATTGACTCCTAGTGTTCCTGACCCCTGACAACTGGGAGACTGGGTTGGGGCCTGAGTGGGAGGAGGAGCACACATGCTGACTGGTCCTCCCCCAGGTGTGTGTTGAGAAGCTGATGCCACTGAGCTCCTTCTGCAGCGCGTTCCACCAGGCTACCTACAACAAGCAGCCCATGTACCGCAAGGCGATCTATGAAGTGCTGCAGGTGAGTGTGCCCGCCCCCTGGGAGCTCAGAAGAAAGGGATAAGCCCTGGGGCCATCAGGAGGTCCGGAGGCTGGAGGCCCTTGGGGAGAGACTCCTTTCCTCCCCACTGTCATCACCCTCTCTGCACCCTGGCTCCTCAGACATCTTCTGTCACCCCCTGCCACTCCCCACCTTGGCTGCTCTCAGTCAGGCCTGTTGCCACTCCACCTGCCTCCAGCCTCCCCTGACCCCTGCTCCCACGTGTTGCCCCCAGGTGGCCAGCAGCCGTGCAGGGAAGCTCTTCCCAGCTTGCCATGACAGTGACGAGAGTGACACTGCTAAGGCTGTGGAAGTGCAGAACAAGCAGATGATTGAATGGGCCCTCGGAGGGTTCCAGCCCTCTGGCCCCAAGGGCCTAGAGCCACCAGAAGGTAAATGCAGGTCCCAACCAAATCTCTTGGGACTCGCCCTGGGCTTCAGATGGTGCTGTTCTGGGACTCCGGCATAATCTGTCCCCTATTAGCTTCCTGCTACCCAGGCTCTGGGAGGCAGAACTGGGCGGGGACTAGGTGCACCCTGCTGTAGGTAGTGCAGAAAGGGAGCCGGGGTTCTGTGTTTGCCTGCAACTGACCTGTTCACTTGCTTTCCTGGTGCAGAGGAGAAGAATCCCTACAAGGAAGTTTACACAGACATGTGGGTTGAGCCTGAGGCCGCTGCATATGCGCCACCTCCTCCAGCCAAAAAGCCGCGAAAGAGCACAACAGAGAAGCCCAAGGTTAAGGAGATTATTGATGAACGCACAAGAGGTAGGTGGCCTGCTCTGGAGAGTGACTTCATACATCCTGCTGGCCAGGCCTGGACCGCCTCCTAATGCACCCTCCCCCCCCACCACAGAGCGGCTGGTGTACGAGGTGCGGCAGAAGTGCCGGAACATTGAGGGTGAGTTGGTCACGTGAGCTTGGGGTGCTCCAGCACAGGCAGGAGAATCTGGCTCCTCCTCCTTGTAGGATTAGCATAGGGTCTTAGGACATTAAAATACCGTAGGCCCAGGGCCCTAAGCACTAAGTGCCTGGGCCTTTCTGCATACCCTCCTCTCTCAGCCTGTACCATGCACCATCTGTTTTCCTAGTGTACAATTTTGCTTTCCTGTCAGTGTCAAGGACTGGCCTTTGGGGGTTGAGGACTGTCCCAGGGATACCTGCAGAGCACCCAGTTGGGGCCCTGTTCTCACAAGTGGGTTTCTGTCATCGTGTTGCGCTCAAAAACAGGCTTTTGAGGTTGGGGCCATGGTACACCCTCCCAGACTTGCTGCCTGCCTCTTTGGCTGCTGCTTTGACGTCCGCTTTCTCTGGGGCTCTGGCGATGCTCACTATAGTCATGCTTCTTTGCAGACATTTGCATCTCATGTGGGAGCCTCAATGTTACCCTGGAGCATCCGCTATTCATTGGTGGAATGTGCCAGAACTGCAAGGTAGGGACACCCGCTACAGAGCTGATCCCTTCCCCAGCTCGGGAAGATACCTGGTGAGAGTGATATGGGCCTGCCTGTTACTTTGGAAGCAGAGCCCTAGCTGAGTGAACCCTCAGGCTCCAAGCTTTTGGCTTACTGTGTTCTAGAAGATCCTCCCAAGCCTCTTGTAGGCCCTTGCTGTGGGTGGGGGCAGGGGCAGGCCTCACAGCAATACAGACTAACGGGAGGGTGGGAATCAGAGGTGGGCTCAGAACAGGCTGACTGCGAGGCAAATTGCCACGCCCTAAGGACCCCCAGAATGAAAGAGGTGATGGGCAGCTCCTTTCTCAGATCTGGGGTTTGGGCTGAGCCTAGATGGTAGGGTATGTCTCCAGGGCTATGTCAAGGTGCCACCGGGCTGGTTTAGAGCCCACCCCTACCTTGGCTGGTCTGGGCCGTGCCTGGCGATTTCTGACCCTCTGTCCCCTGCCTAGAACTGCTTTCTGGAGTGTGCGTACCAGTATGATGACGATGGCTACCAGTCCTACTGCACCATCTGCTGCGGGGGACGTGAGGTGCTCATGTGTGGGAACAACAACTGCTGCAGGTAAGGGCCCGGCCCGGGTGCCTGGCACTCTGCCCTCCTTGCACCCTGCCCTCCTCCTTGCTTGGGACCTAGATTCTCCCCACCCCACTGCACCAGCCAGGTGCTGAGCTGAGCGCGGCCACTCCAGGCTCACTCTTTCTTGGCCTCCCAGACCAGGCTTGCTCACTGAGCCCCTTTGCAGGTGCTTTTGCGTGGAGTGCGTGGATCTCTTGGTGGGTCCAGGGGCTGCCCAAGCAGCCATCAAGGAAGACCCCTGGAACTGCTACATGTGCGGGCACAAGGGCACCTACGGGCTGCTGCGGCGGCGGGAAGATTGGCCGTCTCGGCTCCAGATGTTCTTTGCCAATAACCATGACCAGGAATTTGTGAGTGCTGGGCCTTAGGGCGTGGTCTCCCACACTTGGCTGAGACTCAGCCCGAGTAAGAACACATCAGGGAGTCGTGGGGCCTGAGCCTTGTATGGGCTGCAGTCTAGAAGTCTAGAAGCTTTCTCCGTGGGCTGGGAGGGCTAGCCCAGGGCGGGATCTGGAGGCCGCTCCTGCACATTACCTGACCAGCTGTGCTCCCTGCTTAGGACCCTCCGAAGGTTTATCCACCTGTCCCAGCTGAGAAGAGGAAGCCCATCAGGGTGCTGTCTCTCTTTGATGGAATCGCTACTGGTGAGTGACATGGACCCCAAGAGTACTGGCCTCTTTCTACTTGGACAAGGGAGCTCTGTGTGTGTGCGCATGCGCACACGCACATACGTGCACACACATGCGACTCTGGCAAAACAAAATGATTGTCAACATCACAATAAAATATATCCTAAAGAGGAAAGTTTCATAGCCAGGTGTGGTTGCTACATCTGTAATCCCAGCAACTCAGAAGGATGAGGCAGGAGGATCACTAGCTAGTTCAAACCAGCCTGAGCAACTTAGTGAGACTCTGTCTGGGTGAAACTAAGAAGCTAGGGCTGGGCATGGTGGCATACACCTATATTCTGCGCACTGGGGAGGCTAGGCAGGAGGACCTGCCTGGAGTATATAGTGAGTTCAGGCCCAGCCTCAACTGCATAGTGAGACCCTGTCTTATAAAAAGCAAAGGGGAGGTGATGGTAGGGATGTAGTTTTGTGGTAGAGTGCTTGCCTAGCATACACAAGGCCCTATGTTCAATCCCCAGTGCTAAAGAAAAAGAAGCTTTCATGTTACTTGAAAAGTTATGCAGTTTGTGGACATAAGATTTGGGGCGAGTGAGGGGGTGGGTTGTAAAAGAAGACTGGTAAACCCGTCTTTGCAATGCAGATTTTCCTTAAGGGAGATTCTGCAATGGGACAGCAGCAGGAGGGGTTAACAAACTTTTCATAATCTTCAAAGGACAGACTTGGTGACCAAAACATATACAGTTGTGTTGTGTTTTGATTGTAAACCAGATAATATAAAAAAGACTAAGTCTAGTGAGTCTATAATTAACATTTTGGTGAGTGTCCCTTTAGGATTCTTTCTGTGTGTTTGTGTATTTATATAATGGTATGTCTGTAGATAAATTAAACAAGATAGTAAATGCATACTCTTTTGTAATTTGCCTTGTTATTTATTATGAGTACTTCTCATGTCAACCAGTACAGAGTTACATTCCTTTTTAAGTGCTACACAGAATTCCCTGAGTCTCATAATTTAACTAACCCCCTATTAAGTTATTTCCTGTTTTTTCACTATTGTAAGCAGTGCTGTGACAAGTGTTCCTTTAAATACATATTATACATTTAAATTTATATATGTAATACATGAGGTCCTGGGTTCAGAGGTATAAGTACATGTTTATATACTTAAACTATTATTTCCTTAGGAAAAGCTGGGTCACTGTGTAGGCTCGGTGTGGCTCTTGACATTGCTGGAAAGCCTTCCTGAGAGGTTACACTGATGGGTGTGTGTATAGTCCCCCTCTGTCATCTCCCCAGGCTGAGAGCCTCTCGGGTCTTACGAACAGAATTGCTGTCTATAGAACTTGGGTCTTCATCTGACCACAGGGAGGTACTGGCAGTCTTGAGTCCAGGGACCTTGGCCAAAGGGCGAGATGTGGGTGGCACCCCAGCTAGATGTTTGTCTTTTACTGTTCTCAGGCCCCTGCTGATGTCCTGTAAATTTAGAAAGTTCACGTGCAGCTTTGGTTTCCCATGCAGGACCTTTGAAGCTTTCTGAAATCATGTCATACCCATGAGGGTGTAGAAGTTCCTTGAGGCGAAAAGTTCCTTGGCTCCTGTCAGGAGCTGTAGAAATGGTACCACTGTCCCTCATTTCTCCTAAAGTCTTCCAGCCTGTTCTTACTGTTTTCCTTGCCTCAGGCAGCAGCACTAATCTCTAATAGAGGGGTCATGGTAAGAGGTCACCTCCGAAAGATGTGTAATGCACAAGACTGAAGACCTCCAGAGGAGAGGGTGATGATTCCAGAGAGCTGCTGGGCAGGGTGGGAAAAGGATGAAACTTTTTTATTTTTAGAAGCAGATGGCACTCAGTTGAGGCTTGAAGGTTCCAGCAAGAGGTGATGGAGGGTGTGGAGGGACCAAGGGACCAAGGGGCAGGTGTAGAAACTATACAGATAGGCCGCCCGAAAGGCAGTGGCTGTTCTCCCCCAAACCACCTACTGTCTGGTCAGTCTTTCCTGCTTTCACTACCGTCCAGGTAGGCCAAACTAGGTCTGAACCAGAACCACAAAGCTCTGGCCACTGATACTCCAGTTTGGGGAAGAAAGAATTTCAGGCCCCTTCCTGGGCACAGTAGAGTTTGGACTGCAGCTGACCCCTTATGTCTAGCTGGCCGGAGGGCTCACCTGCTAAGACCAGGTACCAGGGCGGTGGCCCCAGGTGACAGTGCTCTCTGCTGGCTGGCACAGGGCTCCTGGTGCTGAAGGACCTGGGCATCCAGGTGGACCGCTACATTGCCTCAGAGGTGTGTGAGGACTCCATTACAGTGGGCATGGTGCGGCACCAGGGGAAGATCATGTACGTCGGGGACGTCCGCAGCGTCACGCAGAAGCATGTACGTCAGTGCTGCGGGATGCACCCCGCCTTCTCTTCCCCTGCACCCTGCACACTCGGCTCCTTGAGGCCGCCCTGCCCTCCTTCCCATTCTGTTCACTTGCTATTTTATTCATCACCCTCCCCTCAGCTTCTCTCTCTCTTTATCTTCCATTTTTCTTCTTTAACTTGCAAGGATAATAGGCAGGTTAACAATAGGAATTTGGGCTGGGCACAGTGGTACACACCTGTGATCCCAGCTACTTGGGACACTGAGGCAGAGGGATTGCTAGTTCAAGGCCAGCTGGGCAATTTAGCAAGATCCTGTCTCAAAAACAGCTGGGGATAAAGCTCAGTGATCAAAGTGCCTCTGGGTTTGATCCCCAGTGTACTATGAGGGGGCTGGGGGGTGAGGGCCTACCTTAGCAGTAGATACTTGCGTAGCAGTTATGAGGCCAGTTTTGACCCTCAGTAGTGCCAAAAAAGGGAGACTTGGGAACTTGGGAACAGTTTGGGTCTCCATCTGCTCTCTGGGCTGCTCTCAGGGCCCTTTGTGGTAGAGTGCTGTGGACTGGAGAGGTTCCTGCACTCCCAGTGCTTTTGGCAAATGGCTTTACCTGCTGCTGTTGGGGGAGCTCTGGTGGGGTCTTGCCTTGGGTCCTCGGCCCTTCAAGATTTCCGGGCCTAGCTTGAATCCTGAGGATACTCACATGGCCCAGATGCCCCACCCACGGCGCTCAGTGTGAGTGCCACCTGGAGCACCTTCCCACCGAGTGGCTACTGGTCCTGCTTGGCTCATCCTGGGTTCCCTGCTGGCCTCAGGCATGGTCCAGTTTGTGCTTCCTCAACTGTTTAGGAGCTGAGTCCGGAGGGCCTCCGTGACTGCCATGTTCACAGCTCAGTTTTGTCCTCTGCCTGTGTCTCTGGACAGCAGGCCCATCATAGTACCTTTATCCTCCCAGATCCAGGAGTGGGGCCCATTCGATCTGGTGATTGGGGGCAGTCCCTGCAATGACCTCTCCATCGTCAACCCTGCTCGAAAGGGACTCTACGGTAGGTCTTGTCCTCACCCTTTGCCCCCTGTGCTGGTGCTTCTGCACTTGGGTTCCCTCCTTGGGTGTTTCTGCCCTGGGACAGCTGCTCCCATGACCCTGTCTTCCCTTGCCCTCCCCATACCACTGTCTGATGCAGACAGCTCCAGCTGATGACTTTCTCTTCCGACCTCTCAGAGGGCACTGGCCGGCTCTTCTTTGAGTTCTACCGCCTCCTGCATGATGCCCGGCCCAAGGAGGGAGATGACCGCCCCTTCTTCTGGCTCTTTGAGAATGTGGTGGCCATGGGCGTTAGTGACAAGAGGGACATCTCACGATTTCTCGAGGTATAGCCAGCAACCTTGGTTTGGCTGGCCAGCTCACTAATGGCTTATACCTTGAAGTGCTGCTTCCTTCCTGTCTCATCTGCATTGTGGAGCTGGGCACTGGGGACTTCTGCCTTGCAAGGGACCTGTGTGGGTTGTTCAGGGCTTCCCAAGTAGAGTGGGAGGAGCTAGTGTTAGAAGCCACCAGAAATACAAGTGCTCTCCTCTGTGAGTGTGAGGTGGTACCCAGTGTCTTTCCATAGGGTGAGGTGCCAGGATGGGGGATTGGGATGGGGAGTCTGTGTGATTGGATGGGCATTCTATGTAATACTACTCTAGAGGGCACCTTTAAGATGCCACATTCAATTTTCTCTGACCAGACTGGCCTGTGATAGAGGCTTTATGGCTGGTACCTAGAAGAATACATCCTTATCCCAATTTATATCCCCTGACATGAGTCCCAGTTCAGTTCTTAGGCAAGTGTGAGCCATGCACAAAGGATTTCTGCTGCCAGAGGCATTCTTGGGTGGACCACTGAGTCTTGGGCTCAGTAACACCTCAGGCCTGTTGTGTGATTTTAAATGTGAGTGGGCATCTGTTTGGCTTAGAATCTGGACAGTGTGCACACCCAGGCTCACTGAAGCCTGGTCTGTCTGATGAGTGGATGGTCTGAAACAGTGTCCAGTATGGTAGCCATTGGCCATGTGTAGCTGTTTACATGAAAAATCCACTCAGTCCTGTTGGCCTTGTTTCAAATACAGTGTGACCACCTGTAGCTAGTAGATTGGTGGCTACAGCAAGGAACAGTGCCCACAGACAAGAATTCCTGTCCATGCAGAAAGTTCATTGGACATTGTCATTGGACAGTGCTGGTCTGGAATGTTCTGTGAGAGCACGTGTATGTGGCACGGTTAGGTGTTCGTGTGTGTGACTAGGGTTAATTCCAGCTTTTCCCAGGGGCTTCAGGCTATCCCAGTATGTGGCTGCTTGAAAGAAAAGTGCCAGCCTTTGAAGGCTTTAGGTTCTCAACCAGCAGAATCACTGAGTGCTAGTTAATGTACTCCTTTGCTCATCTTTAAACTGTCTCCTGTTTTATAGTCCAACCCTGTGATGATTGATGCCAAAGAAGTGTCAGCTGCACACAGGGCCCGCTACTTCTGGGGTAACCTTCCTGGTATGAACAGGTTGGTGAGCGCTCCAAGGCTGGTGGGTGGGTGCTATGGGTGGTATCTACAGATAGGATGGCACAGAGGGGGGACACTGAGGGACCTTCCTGGGTTGGCCTCCTTTGTTCAATGCCTGCTGGTCTTCTATGCTTTTTATTCCTCGAGAAAGAAGAGGAAGCAGGGCACGGAAAATATTTGCCGTAAGAAACCAGCAACTGGTGGTCTAAACGGGACTTTCAAAGTTGCATTCTTAGCTGGCCACAGTGGTGCACACCTGTAATCGCAGCTGTGTGGGAGCCTGAAGTGGGAAGATCACAAGCTGGAGGCCAGCCTGGGCACCTTGTGAGACCTTGTCTCAAAATAAAAAGGCTGGGATGTAGCTCAGTGTTGGAGTACTGACCTAGTATGCATGAGTCCCAGGGTTCAATCCCCAGAACCACAAAAAAAAACTGTATTTTTTTTTTTTTTTTTTTTTTTTTTTGCACAAGAGAAGCCTGTGCTTTGGAGTTTGAGCTGCCTCTCCTGCCTCAGTGTGTCCGGAGCCAGGAGCCAGCTGGTTCTTAGACTCTCCTGAGGGACAACCTGCAGGGCAGGGGTGTGGGAAAGGTGTGGCACCTAGGAGAGGAACTCAGAAGCCGTAGCATCTAAGTTTGAGGGTTCTGCTTATTCTCTTTCCTACTGCGTTGGCTTTGTGTCCTTTGTTGGAAGGAAAGGACTTTCTTCACATAAATCATATAGGTAAAGATCTTAATATCAAGGACTAAAGAAAATGTTTTATTCTTTTGGGTGTAATAATTGCCTGATAGAAAGGCCTTTGGAGAAAGGGATTTTTCTGGAGTTGCAGTTAGGAAGCACAGAACCACCTGATCCGGAGACCCATTATGGAGGATTGTATTTTCCAGTATGGATTTTAAACTTTCTTGGTATACATACCTGTAATGGAAAGCGTCTTGTAACTTGGCTTCAGTCATCTACTCATTGCCATTCACATGGGCTTGGAGGGCCTTTCCCATCCCATCCCTTTCTGTCTTTTGCAAGAGCTTGTTGAGCCTGTCTTTTGCAAGGAGATACACTTGCTCAGTCCAGTGGTTGTTTCTGGTTTTTTGGTGGGAGTGTAGACTGCTACAACCACTATGGAAATCAGTGTGGAAATTCCTCAAAAAACTAGGATTAGAGGTCCCATTCAGTCCAGTGTTTCTATGGAGCTTCTAATTCAGTGTCCCGTGACAGATCATGGTCCAGTAGGACTGACCATGATATTGCCACCCACTTGTTCCAACCCTAAAGTACAAGGATTCTAAAGCTCTAGAAATAGCAGTGGGATCATGTGGGGCCAAGTAGGTATTACGTACAAGTAGACTGCAGTCAAGGAGGTGTCTATTGTGACCACCGGCCCAGGTCCCCACGCTGAGATCTGGAGTGCCGTGGAAACCTGCATTAAATATGCCTCAGTGTCACAACAGTCAGTGAGCTTCAGCTGTCTGGCCTGCTCCCTGAGTATCACAGAACTTGAATCCTTGGGTTGACTTTGCAGAACTTCAGTCTTTAACTGTTTGTGTACAAAGTATATATCCCAATGGACTCCGTCCAGTGTATACACTCATGAATCATCGCCGCACATCAAGGTAGAATCATATGTGCTGGCGAACGCCTCTAATCCCAGCACTCACTGAGGCAGAAGGGTTGCCACAAGTTCCAAACCAGCATGGGCTACATAGTGAGTTCAAAGCCAGCCTCAAAAAAACAACAAAACAAAACAAAAAACCCCTTCAAGATAGAGAATATTCTCTCAACCTAAAAGTTTGCTTTGTTGTGAGACAAAATAGCATATTCAAAAGTAACCAATTTTTAAAAATTGTGCTCTTGCTGGGTATGGGGTTCCCAGGTGCACATCTGTTCCCAGCACTCAAAGGACCAAGGCAGGAGGGTTGTGAGTTGCAGGCCAGCCCGAACTACCTAATGAAACCTTGTCCCAGAATTTAACAAAAGTGGACTTTTTCTCCCTGTTCTGGGCAGGCCCCATCTGCCTTTTGGTAGTTTGAGACCACTTTTGAATTTGCCTGAATTGGTAGTGTCTGACCAATGTGTCCATGAATGGCTGCAGTGTGTGTGATATTTTGGGGGCGTTTGCAGAGGGTTCTAACCTATATGCATATCCTTGGGAGTCAGGTGGCTGCTAGAGGTGAGCACCCTTGGGGCACCTTCTTGCTGCTCCCCAGGTTTCTGCTGTCATATTGTCTTCTACTTTGTAGGCCATTGGCATCCACTGTGAATGATAAGCTGGAGCTGCAGGAGTGTCTGGAACATGGCAGAATAGCCAAGGTCAGCCCCACACCCAGGACCTCTGCAGGGAACAGGAAGAGGGCAGAGCGCAGGATGAGGTGGAGCAATCAGGGTGGTGTTCTGCCTGCACCTCAGGGCCCATGGACCCAGACAGCATAAAGAATGCAACTTAGGGCATGGTCCAGGGCTGCAACCTTGGGGCCTTCCTTCCCCTGGGAAGTCACTGCTGAAGAGTCCTTACCAAGGTTCTGGGTCCTGCTGTGGCCTTTAAAACATATTTTTGACCAAAACTCACAGCAAGAGTCATCAGCAGGGGGTGTCTCCTAGGATGTAGATTTCTCTCTGGGGAAATCTGTGTAAATATACAGGGCTTTAGGCTCTATGCTCGCACGTGCCAGGATTCAGGACTGTTGACCCACAGTGCAGCTTGGAGTGTGGGACTGAGCCTTTGGAAGATTAAGGAAGTGTAGTGGCCAGAGCTGCCACCTCTCAAGCTTGACTAGCTAGATTGGACCAGGATGGCCAGGTGACCTCAGGTTGGGAAGAGAAGCAGGACAAGAGGGACGGGGAGGCTCAGCGTGCGAACCCAGTGTGCCATGACCCAGCCCCAGCTGGGGGTGTGCTCATCGCTCTCTTCTCTTCATGTTCTAGTTCAGCAAAGTGAGGACCATTACTACTAGGTCAAACTCCATAAAGCAGGGCAAAGACCAGCATTTCCCCGTCTTCATGAATGAGAAAGAGGACATCTTATGGTGCACTGAAATGGAAAGGTACCTGCATTTACACTGGGATGGTGTACAGTGTGTCCTGACTGCTTTGCTTTCAGGGGGAGGGGTTCCCATCCTGCCTTCCAGGCTTACGTTGTCCACAAATCCAAGCATTCCTCAGTATGGCAGAGCCGTCAGGGAGGACTCTTGCTTGGCCAGGTCCTTGCGTAGTTTACAGCTGGTCCTCAATCAAGAGTCTAGGAGTCCCTTGCTGGTGCCTGGGCTGCCAGGGCTTCCCTGATGCCTCCCATAGTATTTTAGGAGGCTGCAGCAGTAAGTAGGGGTGGGCCACACGGCCTCTGTACCCGTATTGTGCGCAAACTGGACTCAAGGGCTGGTTCAGCTCCTGGTTATATATAATTAGGGTTTAGCCAGACAAAAAGACCATTTACACAAACAACCAGAGCAAACAGGAAATCCTTGAACTTGTGAAGCCAGACAAGAGTTCAGCTCTTTTGGTGCTCTTCTGTGCTGGAGTGACTTGGAGAGGAATGTACATGCTTTGCATTCAGGCTCGAGCTATCCAACGTGGATCTAGACCTCGCTTGCAGGGGAACTGTAGAGCTTTGTCGGAGAGGCATTTTAGAGGCCTTTTTACAAACACTGTCTTTGTTTCTGCTGTGCGTGAGTCTTGAGGCAGGGATTATGATAACTACCTTGAGATCCACAGAGATCCGCACATGGCCTGGACGCTAGCAGGGATCCAGGCTAGTGTTGATGTGGAGGGCGGAGGATGCGGAGCAGCCCCGCCTCAGGAGCGTGGGTGTGGATGGTGCTCAGCTGGGTCCTAGTCGCCCACACCTGCCGTGTGGTCAGGTGGCTTCGGGGCAGCCTGCGCTTACCCTGCCCTTTCCACTCTTGTCCCCCAGGGTGTTTGGCTTCCCTGTCCACTATACCGACGTCTCCAACATGAGCCGCTTGGCGAGGCAGAGACTGCTGGGCCGGTCCTGGAGCGTGCCAGTCATCCGCCACCTCTTCGCTCCACTGAAGGAATATTTTGCTTGTGTGTAAGGGACGTGGGGGCAAACTGAGGTAGTGACACAAAGTTAAACAAACAAACAAAAAAACACAAAACACAATAAAACACCAAGAACATGAGGATGGAGAGAAGTATCAGCACCCAGAAGAGAAAAAGGAATTTAAAACAAAAACCACAGAGGTGGAAATACCGGAGGGCTTTGCCTTGCGAAAAGGGTTGGACATCATCTCCTGATTTTTCAATGTTAATCTTCAGTCCTATTTAAAAAGCAAAACCAAGCCCCCTTCCTTCTCCCCTTTTTGGGTCAAACCTTTTGTTTTCTTCTCTTTCAGAGGGGTTTTCTGTTTGTTTGGGTTTTTGTTTCTTGCTGTGACTGAAACAAGAGCGTTATTGCAGCAGAAATCAGTAACAAAAAAATAGTAACGATACCTAGCAGAGGAAAGGCCAGAGAGATGAGAAAAGGAAATTCTATAGAAATCTATATATTGGGTATTTTTCTTTTTACTATATATCTTTTTGTTGTTGTCTCTAGCCTGATCAGATAGGAGCACAAGCAGGGGCAGAAAATTAGACACTCGGTGGCCGAACTTCCTCCCGCCTCCGAGCTGTCCTACCAGCACCATTCCTGGTCATGCAAACAGAACCCAACTAGCAGCAGGGAGACGAGATCACCACACAAGATACTTTTCTACAGTATTTCAGGTGCCTACCACACAGGAAACCTTGAAGAAAACCAGTTTCTAGAAGCCGCTGTTACCTCTTGTTTACAGTTTATATATATATGATAGATATGAGATATATATATAAAAGGTACTGTTAACTACTGTACAACCTGACTTCATAATGGTGCTTTAAAACAGCGAGATGAGTAAAAACATCAGCTTCCATCTGGCCTTATGTGCAAAGGGTTTTAACCAAGGATGGGGAAAGGGATTGAGCTTGAAGACGGCTTACTGTCTGGTGGGGTTTCCCCCTTGGTTTTTAACAAGCTAAAGGAGAGGAATTGAGTTGCATTCCCCGCTTCTCTCCGCCAGAAAGGGGGCTCAGGCGAGGCGGTCAGGACCTGAGAAGCTGAGCGTGGGGTCCAGATGGGCTCACGCAGTAACCGTAGAAATCTTTCTAGAAGGAGGCTCCCTTTGGCAAGGTGGCAGGGTGAGGAGTCTTCCTTCCCGATTTCTCACGTTAGCAGAGTCGAGGGCTCCTTGTGGTGGGATCAGAAATAATCCAGAGTGTGGGAAAGTGAGTTACAAACCCCACCTGGAGCAAATAAAAAAACATACAAAACGTACTGGTGCTTTCCTGTCTAAGTCGCCTTTTGTGTGTTCTTTTATGAGGCCCCATGATCCTCCCCTCTGTGCACAAGGCGGCTCTGGGCCCCTGGAATGTGATGTTTTTGGTCATCTCCAAAGGCTGCAGTTTTATACTGGGAGGCTGATGACACCTTTTATTATAATTATTCTTATGGTTCTGGTTATAATTGTTTGTTTTAAGATTTTCTTTAAGAAAACAAAAGCCCAACACCCTTCCCTTTAGGTTTCAAACCAAGGTGCGGGGAGCAGGGTGCTTCTAAGGCAGTAGTGGCTCTGGTGCCCTGGTTCCTACCCCTCGGGCCAGGTGGGCCACTGGGTGGCGCAGAGACAAGCTGGGTGGCCAGGGAGTCCCCAAGGCCCGCCCTCCGGCTGGTCACTCTTCTCTTCTACTTCCCCTCCTCGTGATCAGGTGTGTCAGGGCTGGAGAGAGGCTTGGGCAGCCTCTCTCCTTGTGTGTGTGGTTGGAGTGGTGTGTGTTTATTTTCTAGTGTTTGGTCTGATGATAGCTGTGCTCTTACCTTGAGTCAGCAGCACCTGGGGCCCCATGTGCTCGCACTTTGTTCTGCTTCCCACCGGGGCCGGCAGCCCGGCAGCCCGGTGTTGGCGGTGGGGAGGGATGGCGCTGTTGCTCTGGGGTGAGAGTCCAACAGGCGGAGCTTGCCTGGATGGATGGGGTGTAGATATGTGGCATATAGAGATATATATTTTATAATGGGAGGGGGGGCGGCACCTCCTGGGACCGGCAGAACTGGGAGGTGTGCCATCAAGCACATGGTCCCAAGTCTGCATCCCTAGAAAGATGGGGCCTATGATGATAGGCGCTATATAAATACATAGATAGGGTTATGTATAAGAAATATTCCACAGTGGGCATGGGGGGACCGGGCTCAGCACTGAGCCCGTGTCCCTGTCGCAGACAGAAGCCCCACACCAGTCAGTCAGTTCTCACACACGCACAGGAACTTGCTTCTATTTGGACGCATAGCAAGTGCACTCACACACACCAGGGAGCCCCAGGCTCTTCTCCCCAGGATTCAGGACTTTGTGGAGTCAGCCCGCAGCTCTTTACCTCTGTTGCCCTGATTGCAGGCAGACTGTCGATCTCAGAAGTTGCTAGGTGCTGAAGGCAGGAAAAGGAGGTTTGATCGAGCAGGTGCTTCCTTGAGCAGGTCGTGTTCTAATCCCCTTTGCCCCTGGTGATGTCAAAGATTCTTCTGTTAGCAACCTGTGATACTGACCTGCGACTCCAGGCACCGGTAAAGTCAGCCCTCCACTCCCCCTACCTATTCACCCAACCAAAATCAAATTGACATCTCTGTCTGTCTGGGCTGTGGGGCTTCCATTGGGAAAGAAAAAAAAGACAAAAATGGGACTAAAGCTCACCTCTGAATAAAGCAAATTCGTAACAAAGCAAAACAGGCTTTGACCCCCTTGCTCATCGCTCAGGACTAAGTGCATGGCTGGTGGTTTGTCTTGCTCCTCTCTGGGGTCTGTAGTCCTGGCCCCACTCTGCTGGTTTCCTCCATAGGCGGAGTTGAAGATAACACCTACTTGCTGCCTGCCACTTTCCTGATGTGGCAGCTGTGACTAGGCCCCCTGGGACTGGAGCTGCTAGGAGAGGGGAGACCTCCCCTCATTGGAGTCCTGTGCTAAGTGTGCTGGTCCATCCCCTCTTGCCCCAGGAGGGCTTTGTTCTAACCTGGAGTCCACCAGCACCACTCCAGGAGGACTGCGGGGAGGACGGCTGCTTCCAGCAGTCCAAGGTGCTCCCTCCCCCGCTGGCCAGCGCCAAGGTCTTCCCTGCTCCCAGTGACAGGACAGTGGGCCTTCCTCTTCCAGAGCTCTGGCTCTCCTGAGCCTCTGTCCCCTGCTTATGTGAAGGAATTAGCTTTTTCCCAGTGGCCCTAGCCCCACTTTAGCTGGGGCTGGTGCTCCCCCTGGGGGTTGGTGTGGGGACTCAGGAAGGCTTTGGTAGCCAAAGATGTGACAAGCCCAGCGTGGGCCGGCCAGCTCGCTTCGAGAGTGGGTGCTGGGCACGGAGGCACCATGGTGGCTGACTACCTACCACCTGCTCCTCTCACTCTAGTGACTCCCAGAATGGATCCCATTTAGGGGGAGGAGTTAATCACCAGCTTTTCTTCCAGCCCAACCTGTGGGCTTGGTCTCAGTAAAACTTGGTAGTACGTAGAGGAGGACTCAGACTATGCCATCTTGGCCAGGCTGCATTGCTCTTCATCCTTGTCAGGGGACTTCTGGGTACTTTTCGAAGGGGAGCTGTGCCTCGTTAGCTGACGTAAGATCATGGGAGGGGTAGGCAGGCTCGCTGGGCTTGCTATAGGTGAGGCAGGGCAGAGGCAGTGCAGTGGGACTCACCAGGAAAGTGGGGAGAAGCTAGGAGGATGCCCTGTGGGGCTTCCTTTCCAAAGAGTAGGGCTGTTCTCCCCTGCACCTCAGCCCTGGGGACCAAGGGGGACATCTTCCTGCAGGTGCCAAGTGGAACATGGTGCCAAAGACCCACGGCCCTTCCTGGGCGAGGTAGCTGGTGCTAGAGCCGGGGTCTCAGGGCCTTGGCCTCCTGCCGGAGGAGGTGCTCGCTCCACCCCAGCAGGGCGTCAGGCTGGCTGGTGCTAACCCCTTCCCCGTGGGACTGACTGGCACACTGAGCTGGGGGCCTACCAGTGAGGGTCAGGGGCCTTTCATCTGTCTTTTTCTCCACCCCAGAGCCTCCCTGCTATTGAACATCCTGCCAGAAAGCAGACTTCCCCAAAAAGCTTTCCAGCAGACCTGGGCATGGTTGGTTGGCAAAGAGGCCTGTTTGGTTTTTGTGAGTGGCCAGGGTGTGAAGTGGACAGGCAGACCCAGTGTGAAGGAAGGCTGGCCGGCCCGAGGGCCTGGCTGCTCCAGTCACTCCGCACCCCCATCTCCAGCACCCAGAGGTCTGGAACAGGAATCGAGCTGAGGCATCTGGGAGATGGTCTTACAGGAAAGTAATCATTAGTTTTCCTGGTTTTGACTGTAAAAATGAAATCATAGAGGAGCTCTTGACTTCCTGTTGCTGCTGTACGTGCTGCAGGGTTGTGCTAGTGTGTGCAGAGCTGTCCTGTCCCGGGAGCCCGCTCGCTGGGGTGCGTGCCCTGAATAGTGCTTGGTCTAGTCAGGGAACATAGAGCCACCTTGCTGGTGAGAGCTGAGTTTCCGGGCAGGCCCACTTTTTGGTGCGGGGAGATGAGGGAGCTGAGTTTGTCATCAGACCTTGCTCTTGTCTGCCTGTACCCCATGCTGTGACTAGAGGGTAACATCCATTGTCCCCTTGGCAGGAAGCAGCTGAAGCCTGCCCCCCACCCCAGGCTGGAGAAGGTATTACAAAGCGATGGCTTGCAGGCACAGCGGCTCTTCTGGTCCGGCCTTGTGCCGGGGTTGGGAAGACCCAGCAGGAAAGGGCGTAGGTTGGCTCAGAGGATGAACTCCAGGTTGCAGGGTGTGCTTTGGCATCTTCACGTTTTGGTAAAGGAAAGCTGGGGTCTTTGGAAGTGTGGACCTCATAGCTGTGGGTTTCAGAGACCCAGTTTAAGGCGACCCTCTGGTTGGGGACCTGTCTCTGACCCCAGGCAGTGGAGTTGGCAGGAGAAACAAGCAGGTGAGCACACAGAGGAGAAGGGCAGAAGGCCCTTTGCTCATGGGGACTTGCTAACTTCCGGAGAGGCCCCTGGACTCCCGAAATTCTGGAAACTGGAAAACTCCTGGGACTCGCTCCTCCAAACCCCAGCCTGGCAGCCTCCAGCCTGTGCCTGCGGCCATGAGCAGTGGTCTAAAGCATCACCATAGTCCCATTTCACGTACAGACCGATTTGGTTGTACAGCCCTAGAATTCAACAGACAACAAAAATGCTGAAATCCCTTAGAATATGCAGAGGGAGGAGGTGACTCAACAAGGTGCTAAAACATTTTATTAAAAATATATATTGTTAAATTAAGTCTGCTGTCTGGACAATGACTGTTTGTTTTGTTTTCTTGTAGTGGAGTTTAAAAGAGACTATTATTTTACTCTGATATATTATTATTAAAAAGGCATTTTAACTTTGTACTTGAAAACTAAGTGAGCGATTTCACGTGTTTTAGCTGAGGCATTGAAGTAGCGGGTGCTTACTTATTTGTGGGAAATCATGTATTCATACTGAAGAATAAACTCCGTAGCTGATTTGGTAATAACTTTTACTGTTACAGACGATTGCGCTTTGACCCCGGTGGCAGAGCACTTTTACTCCACATTCCACGCAGCTAAATGCAGGACCTCCCGGACTCTCCCCCGGCCCCAGCCTTCCTCCTTTTTCTTCAGTTCCTGTTTCCTTTTTCCTTTCTTTCTTTTTTGTTTGTTTTTCCTGATTCCAGCATCCTTTCACCACTGTATTTTTTTTTAGGGTTGCTTCTCTATTTATTGACAATAATAATGTACATTTCACAGTCTGGTTTCCGGGATGCCTGGCGCTGCACGGGGCTCTGCGGGGCCCTGCCGTGGCCGCCTGGTGTTCTGTTGTATCTCTGTGTACGTGATGCTCGTGACATAGCTGTTTATGAAATAATTAAAGAGGTCAATGCATACAGCAGATGTAGAAAGTCTGTCAGTTCCGCCTTCATCACATTTTTTTTTGTGCCCAGAAGAATATAATAAAGCTCCTTTCTAATGTACTTGTGCTGGAGAACACTTGAATAAATGGACTGTTTTTGTGCAAAAAGAAAAACGGAAAAAGCACCATAATAATGTCCTTTTGTCTTGCGTCTCATTTGCCCTGACGTGACTGTCGCTCCAGAAGGCTTAAGTACCTCGCGGGGAGGCGCGGGCGGGGCGCAGGCGCCGGGACGCGGGTGCCCCTCGCCCCGCAGAGGTGAGGTACCCTGAGTCACGGTTGCTGGGAAGGCAAAGTCTGGCCAAGGTGGAACGATAGGGGTGTTGGGCGCAGAGTAGGAAGAAGAGTCTGCCGGTGGCTGGGAAGCTCCTGATCAGCAGGCACCGCTGCTCTTGCAACGGGTTCCGCCAGCAAACCGAGGAGTGGCCAGGGAGGCCGACGGTCTGGACGCGAGCGACCTGGAAGGAGCAATGCCGGTGTCTGGCAGGAGCAAACATTGGGAGATGTTTGTAGATACTGACCAGCAGCCTGCAGGGCCCAGACTGACCCGGTGAGTGGCGGGGGAGGCTGCTTCCCACTTAGCGAAGGCAGGCCCTTCCCACCTCTGGCCACGGTGCAGGGCACACTGGTGCAGGGCACACCGGTGTGCAGGGAAGGTGCTGGCCAGCACCCGCGGTCTCCTGACCCACGTCTGGGCTTCTCGGATGCCCGGGCCACCTCAGCACTATCTTCCAGGCGGCCGGGGCCTTGTGAACTGTAAACCCCTGCAAACACGTGACTCTTTGTTCTTGTGATTCTGCTTACGATCACTAACTTCCTGTCCCCGCCTGTGCGGATGGCAGTCTGAGCACGTGTGAGGCCTGGGACCTCAGCAGTGTCTCCTCAGTGCCCAGGAGGCCCAGCCTTGGCTTCTGCTCCTAGGACAGGGCTGCTTGAGGGTTCTTTCCTGCCCCGACCTGGTGGGAGGTTTAGGACATCAGCACCCCATGGGCGGGTGTTCAAGAATATGATAAAGGGATGTGCCTGTAATCCCAACGCTTGGGAGGCTGAGGCAGGAGGATCTCTAAAAATTCAAGGCCAGCCAGGGCTACACAGTGAGTTCAAGACCAACCTGAACTACATAGCGAGACCCTGTCTCAAAGACCAAAAGAAAAAAAAAAGTGATAAAGGGAAAGTTGGAAGAAAAGGGGAAACACAACTAAGACTTTTTCATGGACACTTCCCACCCCCCACACAAAGTTGTAAGTGTGTATTTACTCTTACTCTGTCCTTTTTTCACTATTGATATAGAATCTTTTTTCAAATGGCTGCGTGACATTTTCTTGTTGAATGTTTCTATTTATACATTTATTTCAGCTATAAATGGAGTTTCAATAAACATCTTTATGGTTTTGACTCTTCCCCCTACATTTTGTATTTTTTTCTTGAAATAGATTCCCAGAAATGAGACTAATAGGAGCAAAATAGACAGATTTGTTTTCGTTCCTGACATTTGCTGCACAGCATCCTGGAAGCCAGCAGATAGGTGGTGTCTCTTCAGCCCTGAGGGTTCTCTGTTTAGAAAGAAAGAAACCTAGGGCTGGGGATAGAGCTCAGCGGCACAAGTGCCTGCCTGGCAAGCGCAAGATCCTGAGTTCAATTCCCGGTACCAAAAAAGAAAAAGAAAGAAAGAGAGAGAGAGAGAAAGAAAGAAAGAAAAAAGAAAGAAAGAAAGAAAAAAAAAAAAAAGAAGAAAGTAACCCAGTCTTTAGCTTCCCCAGTTCAGAATTGCTTTGGCTTAGTCAGGCTCCTGTTGCTGGGACAGAATACCCAAGACCACACGATTTATAAAGAAAAGAGGTTTGTTGGTCCTGGTTCTGGAGGCTGGATCCAGGATCAGCTACATCTGCTGAGAGCCCCGGGCTGTCCTAACAGCCACAGGCAGGAGCTGGAGCAGTAAGGGCGAGGCCTCCACAGCGGCCACAGAAAGGCTTTATCCCCCACCGCACCCCCAACACACGGCCACATGCAGGTTTCACATGTGTCTCAGAGGGGACAAACCATATCCAACCTGCAGCACATGTATTGGTCCCAGTGGGGAAGACTTTGAGAAGCTCAAAATCACCTACTGAGAAGAAAGATGTAAAAGAAACACAGTTTGGTCCCTGAACTGAGAAAATAAGCTGCCTGTGGGAATTCTATTAGGGACTGGATCTTGGAGACTAGCTCCAAGGTTAGGGAGAGGTGGGAGGGCAGAGAGGCCCTTAGCTCTGAAAGCCACGGTGAGCACTCGGGGTCAGAGAACGTGCAGGAAGGAAGTAGCTGCTAGACCATTCGGCTAATAAAAACCATCCTGTAAGGAAAATGTGGTGTTTATAATAGAGTACTATTCTGCTGTGAAGAAGGATAAATGAGTCATTTGTAGGAAAATGGACACACCTCCAGACCATAATCTTAGGTGAAATAAATGTGACATACAAGTGTACATATCGCACTGCTTCTGTTGTGTGAGAACCCAAAGGGTAAATAAGGAGCATCATGGAGGATAGACATTGGGAAGCAGGAGAACATGTTCAAATGGGAAGGGGAGCAAGGGAGCGGGGAGGGGAAGGGAAGGAAGGGAAAAGGAAAAAAACATGGAAGGAAAAAATGGAATCAAAGCTTGTGTAAATGGGGAGGGGAGGAAGGGCTGAAGAGAGGAGAGGGGAATGGGGAAAAAAGAATTAAGATATATTATGTACAGGTCCAAATTCCCTATGACAAATGTGATCAATATGTGTGACAAATATGTACTAATAAAAAAAGTTTAAAAACAAAATAAAAACCATCCTGGGTTTGGGAGGCTGAGGCAGGAGAATCACAAGTTTGAGCCCAGCCTGAGTGACTTAGCGAGGCCCTGACTCGAAATGAAAAGGCTAGGGGATATGGCTGAATGCAGAGGCCTTGGGTTCCATCCCCAGTACCCTTTTTTTTTAAGTGATGGGGTCTCACTATGTTGCTCAGACTGGCCTCATGTCACTAAGCTCAATAATTACACCAGTTGTTAAAACACACACACACACACACACATGCACACACACATACATGAAAAAAACTCGCCTCCCAAAGTTAATTACTGTTGGAGTTTCTCAATTTTTACTTTCACATTAAATGCATATACAACTTTACTAATTTATCCTTTTTTTTTTTTTTTTTTTTGAGACAGGGTCTCACTATGTAGTCCAGACTGGCCTCAAACTCATGGCGATCCTCCTGCCTCAGCCTCCCGAGGGCTGGGATTACAGGCTTGCACCACCACGCCTGCCTCAACTTTACTAATTTAAAGTCACATTAGGCTTCGCGATGTGGCTCAGTGGGAGAATCCTTGTCTAACACACGTGAGGCTTTGAATTTAATCCCCAGAACCCCAAGAAAAATAAAAAGTAAAATTTTACTGTTCATTAATTTTGTTTCGCAACGATTACTAGCATTTACTGAACATTCAGTGTGGGTCAGATATTTTTCTGTGAATATTTTATTGTGAACACATACCCCCTTACTAAATCTTTTTTTTTTTTTTTGAATCAGGAATTGAACTCAGGGCTTGAACTTGCCGGGCAGGAGCCATACCGCTGAGCTATATCCTCAGCCCTATTAAATCTTTTAATACCCTTTTTTCCCCCAAAAAAAAGATTTTGGGGGAGTGCAGTGAAAAGTTTTTATTTTTGCAGAACTGGGGACTGAACCTGTATTGAACCTGTGCCTTTGCACAGATCTTTTTATTTTTTAAGACAGGGTTGGCAGATCATGGTGATATATGCCTGTAATTCCGGCTCTCAGGAGGCTACATAGTGAGTCCAAGGCCAGCCTGAACTGCAAATAATGAGACTGTCTCAAAAATCAGAAACAAAAATCTCCCCCAAAATCAGGGTCTCGCTGAGTTGCCAAGTTGACCAAGCTGGACTGGGCTGAATTTGGGATTCTCTTGCCTCATCTTCCTAGAGTACTGGAATTACAGGCCTGCACCACCACACCCAGCTAAAAGTCATTTTTTAAGGGCTGCGTACTACTCAGCTCTGTATTCATACTACTGTATATGTATTTAATCCATCCTCTGGTTTTGGACATTTACATTTTGTTCTTTTCCCGGGAGGGTGCCATTACCAACGCTGCTGAAGGGAACATTCTAGCAAGTTCCTTCACTAATTGCCATGTATTTTCATAAAAAAAAGAAATCCCCATAGGCCAGGTATGGTGGTGCACGCCTGTAATTCCAGCACTAGGGAGGCGAGGCAGGAGGATTGCTGTGAGTTCAAGTCCAGCCTGGGCTACATAAGCAAGTTTAAGGCCAGCCTGAACCGCAGAGCGAGGAAAAAAAGTACCAAAACCAAAAAAACCAAAAAACCGAAATCTCCAACACAGGAGAAAAGCCGCAGGGCACCGTGGGCATTGGGATACACTCAGCTCGGCTGGGTCGGGTGCTGGGGCTGCGCGACTGTCGCCCACGGAGATCCTGCCTGGGCCACAGCCCCGGCGGCCCCGCGCATGCACTGTCATGGCGAGGGCATCCCCGGGGCGCTGGGAGCCTGGAGCGCGGCCCTTTCAGCACTATGGCGCGGGTGTCACCGCGGATCGGAGGGCTCGGGACCCACACAAGCGCCAGGGAGTGCTAGATGGGGCGCGGACGAGCAGGGCAGGGCTGGCACGGCGAAGGGCGATGCAGCACCACAGGAGCCCTGCTCCGGCGCGCACCCGGCATCACTCCTCTGCCACAGGGAGAGCGTGTCGCTGAGGCCGCAGGGGCCTGGGGACTCAGCCCTGGGGGTCTTCATTAAGGCAGTGTAGCCAAGAAGGAAGAAAAGACCGGGTTTGGATCCTAGCTTTCTACTAGCTGTGTGTGAATCAACATTTACCAAGACTCAGTTTTGCCATCTGTGAAATGGGAACAAGCAATGACCTTCTTCCCAGGGTGGTTACGAGGAGGATCTGCAAATTAGACGTTCAATACAATTATAGAAGTATTCAGTGCATGAGAACCTTGTGGCTTGGGGCATTGAGTGCAGGGCTTTCGCACAGAGCTACATCCTCAACCCTTTTCCTGTTTTTCATTTTGAGATGGGGTCTTGCACAGTCACTAAATTGCCCAGGCTGGGCTC